CCGAGCACTCTATTCCGCGTCGCGACGCACGCCACCTCCCCCCTCCCCACCTGGGATTTGGGCCCCCTTGCTGGGCCCCGAGGGGCGATGTCTTGCCCCCTCTCCCCCCTCCTCCTCCACCTCCTCCTCCTCCCCCTTCCTTGTTGTGTGTGCAAGAACCATGGCACACGTGCCACTTGTCGGGGCCCCACCCAGCTACGCGTCAGCCGGCTCTCCCAAAAAGGTCACGACCCCTCCCCCCGGGCCACGTGTCAACAAACATGTGTACGTCTACATGGATGCTGGCGGCCGCCTCGGATTGAACACGTAAGGAAGAGGTCCTGTAGGGAATGCTCTCGCTCGAGGCCTCATTGCAACTTACTGACAAGCCAGGCCCCCGCTCGCTCACAAATCTGCCGACCCTGTCGGCGTGTGGAAGACGCATCCCAGTGTCGTCGTCTTGCGTGGATCACCGTCGTCGTCGTCGTCGTCGTCGTCGTCGTCGTCGTCGTCGTCGTCGTCGTCGTCGTCGCCCGAAAAAAAAGAAATCGAACACGAAACAAAAGGAATCCTCCTCCTCCTCCTCCTCCTCCTCCTCCTCCTCCTCTCCTCCTCCCCTCCCCCCTCCTCCTCCTCCTCCTCCGCCTCCTCTCCTCCTCCTCCTCCTCCTCCTCCTCCTCCGCCTCCTCCTCCTCCTCCTCCTCATAGTCCCCCCCTCCTCCCCCCTCCTCCTCCTCCTCCTGCTCCACCACCTCCTCCTCCTCCTCCTCCTCGTCCCCCCTCCCCCCCCCTCCTCCTCCTCCTCCTCCTTCTCCTCCTCCTCCTCCTTCTCCTCCTCCTCCTCCTCCGCCTCCTCCTTTGGCACGTCTTCATTTACCTCCGACGTCGTGTCACGCATCCCGTCACCCTCGAGGGCCGAGGTATTTGTGGTCGGCGGCACTGGCCGTAAGGCCTTAGCACTATCTCATGCAGCATGCGCTCCGTATTTCCTCAAGATTCAGGTGGCCAGGTGTCAGAACTCTTATGTTTGTTTGTACAGGTGTTCCGATGGTTGCCTCGGATTAGAAACGTACGATGGGGACCCTACAAGCAAGTCTCCCGCTCGACACTTCCTTGCAATATACTGACAAGCGAGACCCCAGCTCATGAGACATCCTGCCGCCGATGCAGGTATTCTGATGGCCGCTTCGGATTAGAAGACCCAACATAGCGGGCGAGGACTCTGGCTCAAGATTTCCTGGCACGTTGCTCACATACCATTCTCTCACCCGAGACATCCTCTCAATAGCTCATGAATGGTGATCATGGTGGTGATGATGACCAAGGCGATCACGATGATGACGACGACATACGAGGGTATTGGTGATGAGGAGGGAGGGGTCATGGTAATTACGACGAGGATCATGGTCGGGTTGATGATCATGATTCAGACGACGACGATCGCGTCGGAACACGACGTGATTGTGATGACGACGATGATAAAGATGCTGATCATGCTGATGACGACGACAAGCGACAGTGACAATGACGACGACGATGAGGATGGGTGTTCTTTCATGCGCGGGGAAGCCCAGATAAATGAATAACTCCCTTTTCGGGTATGGGAAAAAAGATCCCAAGCAACGTGAATCGCGAATAGCGTGGCTTATTCTCGAGCGCCCCCATGGGGCCCAAGAGAAGTCCGAGAGCGCCTTGAAGGGCCCAAGACGGACCCGAATGACCACAATACGACTCCAAGACGGCGCCCAGACGGTCCAAGAAAGAGCGCCAAGACGGACCGAGCCTCCCAACAATATCCAGGCAACTCTGTTGTGGGAGTGTCGAGAGAGTAGCAGAAGGAGCGAGGAGACACCCTGATGGAAGGCGAGAGGAGGGAGAAAGCGAGGCTGAGGTGGCGATGCTGTATGGCGTGCCTGAAGCATGCATGGGCTTGTGCTGTCCTCTCGCAGCGTGCTCGTCGGCACGATTGAGCGAACCTTGGCCGCCCGAAGGCGCAAAAAGGCTGGGGGGGGCGCGAGAGAGGCGCCACCCGTGGAGAGAGGGGGTAGGAGGGAGGGAGAGAGAGACAGAAAGACAGAGAGAGACAGAGACAGAGACAGAGACAGAGACATCGTTCTCTCACGCGGCGTCCATGAAGCTTGTAGTCAGCGCGTTATGAAGCGCATTCGGGCATTCTTGGAAGTCTTCTGGGGCCTCTTGGTTTCAAAGAACCGCGCCTCGAACAACAGTTTTCAGAAAGGACGCTTACGGCGTGAGTGCATCTGCTTCCACCGTGCTGCCTGGAAAAGCTCACAAACAACAAGCAGCTGCGCACCATATCTTCGCTACATGAGGCCACGCCTCAAAGTCTGTTGGTTATGGAGGTATTGGCTTGGATCGTATGTGATGTCTTCCTGGGACGTCGGTCGGAGCAGGGCAGATTGAGACAACAGCAGCTCACAATAGATCCCCACATCCCTCCCGGGGTCTAAACACGTTAATTTTCCGAGCTGCGTCCAGCCGTGTCGACGAGGGCCCCCCCCCCGAAGGCAAACCACCGTTGTCTCAACTCGCCCTCGCCTGGATGTAGGTTCATATCGTCTGTGATTTTGGTCCTCTGGGCCACCACAACATCTCGTTGCGACGCCCAGATCTGCAGGGTCATGCCCAAGGGGGGTCACCACCAGGGGGGCCGCCAACTCCTGGAGGGAGCGCCACTTCCTCCAGGCGCTGGGCCCCCGCAAAGACTCCACGGAGTCTTCTCAAAACGCCCCCGGACGTCCGGAGAAAACCTCCTCGAGATTCGGCCCTGCAGCCTCGACTTCCCAACAGGAACTGGTGACCTCCGCACTGGTGGTCCCTCGGGAGCGGCGAACGCATCCATGCCCGCGCCCTCGCGGTCTGGCCTCCGCGGGCGCACGGAGACGCTCCGCGCGAGGGGATCCGCGAAAGGGCGCCCCGCATACGCGGGGTCGCCGACCGGAGCCCTGGCCCGCGAGGCCGCGGATACGGACAGGCTTTTCGCTCGCGAGCGCCCCCCGGCGATGAAGGTGAGATAGGCATGGGTGCGGGAGCTGTCGGACCCCGAGGGGAGGAGGAGGAGGAGGAGGAGGAGGAGGAGGAGGAGGAGGAGGAGGAGGAGGAGGAGGAGGAGGAGGAGAGGAGGAGGAGGAGGAAGGAGGAGGAGGAGGAGGAGCTGTCGGACCCCGAGGGGAGGGGCTCCCGTCCGAGCGGGAGAGCCCGCCGTCCGACAGCACACACCCATAGCCCGCCCAGTATGCCACCCCGAGGCATCTCTGGATGTCGCACAGGTCGTTCCTTTCCAATCGCGCGCATTTCTAGTGGTGCTCGCTTCTAATTGCTCCTGGCCCCCTAGTGGCCAGGAAGAGGCCCAGACAGAGCAATTCGAAAGGAAAGGATCCGGGCCCCCCAAAAACCAAGGAATTCTCAAAAGGAGTTGGACATGAACAATGTGTAGGTCTGGGTGCTGGTTGCCAGCTCGTGGTCTGAGGGGTTGTCTGTGCCGCCGGGCTCCCACTGCGGCAGGCTGCTGGCCGTGCTCGCCAGGGTGCCGTCGGAGGGGCACGCAGCCGGGTCACCGCCGCCCTCGGACGCCGCGCTGGAGCAGGAGGCGGACGCGGCGGCGTCGCGCACGTGGCGGCCCTCGAGCGACACGCGGGGGGCCGCGTCCTCGGGGGGAGGGGGAGGAGGATCGGCTGCACGTAGGAGCGACCCCGGGCAAGGCTGTCCTCTGGTGCGCGCCTCAGGGGGCCGCGCGTGGGCCAGCACCCAAGCGCGCAGGCCAGTGCTGGGGCTCCTCCTCCTCCTCCTCCTCCTCCTCCTCCTCCTCCTCCTCCCTCCTCCTCCTCCTCCTCCTCCTCCTCCTCCTCCTCCTCCTCCTCCTCCTCCTCCTTCCGCCTCCGTGGCCCGCACCAAAGGTCACTCCAGCGAAAGGCCACACCGACTGCAGCCGATAGGGGCAGGACCCCGAGATCCTGGCGCTGCACGGTCTGGCAGATCACGTCATAAGCATAGGCTTTCGGAGGGCCGCGCAGAGTTCTTGGATCTGCGCTGGAACCCCAAGGCGGCGCCTCCAGCGCCGCTCCTGGCGCGCCAGGGAGGGGGTTCAGCGCCGATGCAAGAAATCCGCGCGGACCTTCGACAAGTTGACTTTTTCCCAACCATCCTGTGGTGTTGGGTCCTCGTTTTGAAGAGACAGCGCCCCATGTCTCCTCTCTCCCTCTCCTCTCCTCCTCCTCCCCCGCCTCCTCCCCCGCCTCCCTCCCCCCATCCGCCTCGTTACCCCCCTGCGTTTCACCCACCCAGGACAGCGTTTCGTGGCCCCATAAGGAGCTCCACCGAAGGCCCCAGTGGCAGGGTTCGTCTGCGTCCCCCCGCCCATTTCGGCACATCCCTCACACGGCTCGTGGCCCCATAGGGAGCTCCACCGAAGGCCCCAGCGGCAGGGTTCGCATGCGTCCCCCCGCGCATTTCGGCACACCCCTCACACTGTTCGTGGCCCCATAGGGAGCTCAATCGAAGGCCCCAGCGGCAAGGTTCGCATGCGTCCCCCCGCCCATTTCGGCACACCCCTCACACGGCTCGTGGCCCCATAGGGAGCTCAATCGAAGGCCTCAGCGGCAAGGTTCGCATGCGTTCCCCCGCCCATGTCGGCACACCCCTCACACGTTCCGTGACCCCATAGGGAGCTCCGCCGAAGGCCCCAGCGGCAGGGTTGGGGGAGCGACAGCAGAGAACCGATTGTGGAACTTGAGCAAACAATGAAACATAAGATCTAGCGTTGTTTTTTTCGCATGGCTGGTTTGGAAAGATCGGGATGCTCAAATATTACCGCGCAGCATTCGGCCCCGTCGGACGGACCCAGGCGTGTTACTGCATTTGGCTGCCGCCTTTGGTGTTGTGAGCTCTCGTGGGTCTCTGGGGTCCTTCTTTGGGGCTTCGTGGAGGTAGGTTTTGGGCCTCCTGGGGGCCTCGTGGGGCCCTCTCTGGGCTCTCAGGTGCCACGTAGGCCTCCGGAGATCGTCTGGACTGCCTTGGGGGAAGCTTGGGGACAGATGGAGGGCCTCGCCATCGCTCGGGCGTCCATTCCCCGTGCGTTGTGGGGGTCTCGTGCGCGTATGCTTCGCAAGCTGGCCCCAAAATGCTCCTCGATGGTCCTCGCCGAGAAAAAAATGCACACGTCCGAGCGATGCCAAGGGGCCTCCTGAAGCGCCTTAGACGCCTCTCGGGAGCGCTCCTGGGCCCTCGCCCGTAGGGGGGCCTCTTGGGGGTCTCTTGGAGACTGTTCGCGCTCTGTGACGTGCCTGCCGGCGGAGCAGGGCCAATCTTAGGTCGGGCCGGTCCCCCTACAGGGGGATTCTGGACAAAAAATAAAACTACTAAAACATACTTTCAAGATGCCACAAAGCACGCAACAAAAAAGTTCCCAGGCTATTTCTTAAATATTTTTGGATATTCCCCCGGTAGAGGGACAGGCCCGACTCAAGGCCAATCTTCACTGGAGCAGAGGTGGATGCGAATGTGCGCACCTGTGCCTGTCTGTGCTTGCAGGGGCGCCACCTGCACTCCTGGGAGTGCCAGTGCTCCTGCCCGCACAGCTGAACGGCCTGGCCTCGGCACACACTGGGAGGGGCCCTGGAGCACACAAATCAATGCACACAAATGAGATGATTCCCCATATCTTCCCATATGTTCTGGGTCTTTGTCTTCCCCCCACTTCCCGTGCTTTCCCATATCTTCTGGGGAATCGACGATTCATTGTGACTGTGTGTTTCTTTCCCTCCTGAGCTCTGGCGGTGCCTAGAACCTCTGACTCGGGCGCCACTTCTGTCGGAGCGTGCAGCCGGCCCAGAACTAATTGGACGGTGTCGGCCATCAGCGCCTGTGGGAATTTGATTTCCGCGGAGGGGGCTTCAGAGGCCGCCGCCCCTCCACCCGCAGACTTGGAGGCGGGAGGCAAAGCACCGAGGAGCACGGACTGGTGGCGTGCCAGGGTCTTCTCGTGGAGGGCATCGTGAAAACCACGTGGAGCCTCGTGAGCGCCTTGATGGCCGCCCTGAGGGCCTGTCCCTCTCAGGCCGTCTCGGGGTGCTCGCTAGACCCTCATGGGTCGTCTTGAGCCCCTCGTACGCCACCTTGCACCCAACTGGTCGCAATCTTGAGCCGTGTTGGGGCCCTGTTGGGGGCGTCGTGGACGGTCTTGGGCCCCCTTGGGCCAATCGTGGGCAATCCTGGGGCCTGCTTCAGCCTTCGTGGCTTCCACTGGCAGCACCCGCGTGGAGTTCCATTGGCCCGCAACGCCAGGAATAAAACACATACCGCACACATCAACAATGACACACAACCACAAACAACCACACACAAACACACTGGCAATCCGACACAAACGCACACCCACACACCCACACGCCTACATGCACCCCACACACACACACACGCACGCACGCACGCACGCACGCACGCACGCACGCAAACACAAACACACACACACAGACATACGCACGCACGCACGCACGCGCGCGCACGTACGCGCGCACGTACGCACGCATGCACGCACGCACGCGCGCGCACACGCACGCACGCACGCACGCACCCACGCACACACACAGAACACACACACAAACACACACACACAATCACACACACACACTCACACACACAAACTTACCCGCGTCACACACACACACACAACCACACACACACATGCACACACGCACACACACACACACGCACACACACATACACACACGCGCACGCGCATGCACGCACGCACAGCCACACAACCACACACACACACACACCAGCACACGCACACACGACGTACAATCAACGCTTGTATGTCTCCTTGGCATGGACATGTCATGTTTTCCCAGATGGCGTCTTTGACGCTACTTAGGCGTCTCGTGCTTGTGGCCGCTTACGCGTACACTCCTGAATCATTGGGGCCTGCTAGCATGCCCCAGGGGCATCTGTGTCGTTGTGGCGCTGCGCATGGGGTGGTGCCGCCCATGAGGGAAGTGGACCCCGCCATTAAGGAGCGCGGTTCCACCAGGGTGCCCCTTGGCCACTGTGCTCCAGTATGAATGCAGTTATGGATGCACTTTTTGTCCAGGCACAAGGAGGTCGCCCCGCGGCTAAGAAGAGAAGAGGAACGCAGCAGGGGTGGGGAGAGCAAGAGGAGAAGCAGCAGCCGCAGCAGCAGCCGCCAGCGCCAATCCTCTCCGTCCACCCTCCTCTTCCTGCCCTCAGCGGAAACGATGGGGCGGGGCAGGCGGGCCCTCCCGGCACGAGGCCCCCTGGCCCTGCAGGTCCTGGAGCCGGCCCTGCCGCTGGCTCGGCTTCGCGACGCCCCCGAGGTGCTGCGGCCGCGCGGCGGGCCCCGACGGCGCCCCCCTCGGGTTGCGCAGCCGCTCGGCCCGCGGGTCCTGCTCGGGGCGGCCCGTCGGCGCCACCTCCCTCGCGTAGCTGGTCGGGCGGTCCATGAGGCTCTGGGCGGACCGCAGCTCGGCGAAGTTGTGGGCGTGCCTCGAAGGGGGCACGCAATGTATATACACCGTGTCGTTTGGCTGGCCGAGAAGCGCGTCGGCGCATAGACGCTGCAGCACCCGCACAGCTCGGGGACGCGTTGCGCCTTTGCACCGAGCTCCTTGGCCGACCGAGCGACTACTGTAGACGTATGTTCGAGCTCCTCCCGGTGCCGGCAGGACGAGCCAAGGTCGCAGCGGCCACGCTGCAGGAACATCTTGCAGGGCGCAGACTTCAGGAAGACGGTCGTGACGCGCAGATCGTCGTAGCCGTGCGCGAAGGAGCACTCGCTCAGGTCCATGGGGCAGTGCCCCGCCTTCCAGGCCCACCCCCCATCCAGCCCCGCGCGCGCGGGCCCGCTCGAAGGACGAGGATAGTGGTGATGATGGGGGAGGCAGGTGCGGAGGAGCATGAAGCTGACGAGGAGGAGGACGAGGAGGAGGAGGAGGAGGACGAGGAGGAGGAGGAGGAGGAGGAGGAGGAGGAGGAGGAGGAGGAGGAGGAGGAGGAGGAGGAGAAAGGCCAGAAAAACGACGACGAGGAGGACTGGACGGGCCTGACGCGTCGAAAGAGAACGGAGGAGCGGGACAAGGAAGGTGGGGCGGCGAGGGGCAGGGGGAGGAGGGCGAGGCGGCGGAGAGGGGGCGCCGCAGCGCCTTCCAGGCCCTGCAGATCGAGGTCTTCGTCAGGTCCGGGGCGCGGTGCAGCTCCTCGGGGCTGTGCGCGAAGTTGCACCCATCCCCGCGGTTGCAGGACGTGGGGTAGAACCTGCGCGGTCGCGACTCGGGACGCTGCGCGCGAGAGCGGGCAAATTGCGCCGCTCCTGGCGCGGTCCGCGGGCAGTCTCTCAATAGAAGGGGGGAGGAGGAGGAGGAGGAGGAGGAGGAGGAGGAGGAGGAGGAGGAGGAGGAGGAGGAGGAGGAGGAGGAGGAGGAGGCGCTGGACACGCCTGGCTGTGCACTCGGCGCCGCCCCTGGCGCGCTCCGCGCGCCAGGGAGAGGTGTCCTGCGTCCCGCGCCGACCCAGACAGTTCTCGCGGGCCTTCCGCAGGTTTCTGCTCGGCCCGGAGCTCATGATACAGAGAAGGAGGTCTGACTTGGAGGAGGTGGGTGACTTGAGCTTTCTTGGAAGGCCCCCGAAGGGATGGGCAACAGGCCGCTGTTTCATGGCTGGCCTGGGCGGGTCTGAAATCGCCAGTCTGGGAGTGTCGCGGCCCCTCCCTTTCTATTACGATATGTGGAGCATGCAATTTGTTTACTCGAGGAGGAGGAGAACACGAGTGACCACAGCCACGTGACAGACGTGCGGGGGCTCGGCGGCATGTCGCGGCTGCCGCTGCTCTCCTGCAGATCCATCGTGGTACTCCCCCTTTTTCTCACAATCCTTTTCTTCCTCGTTCTCCTGCTCACTCTGTTCCGTTTCCTCCCCCTCCTCCTCCTCCTCCTCCTCCTCCTCCTCCTCCTCCTCGTCCTCGTCCTCGTCCTTCCTCCTCCTCCTCCTCCTCCTCCTCCTCCTCCTCCTGTCCTCCGCCTCCTCCTTCTCCTCCTTCTCCTCCTTCTCATCTTCCTCCTCCTTCTCCTCCTCCTCTTTCTATCCTCCTCCTCCTCCTCCTCGTCCTCTTCGTCCTCCCCGCCGGTGTCAATGAACTGCCCGGGCCTTGGGGGGGAAGGAGGAGAATGGAAGAGGGAGGCACAGTGGACCTTCAGGTTGGCGGATTGACCCCCAGATCTGGAGCCTGCAGAGCTCCGACTTCCGGAACTGCGCGCGGAAACGGGCGCGGTGCTCCGCACTCACCCTCTGCGCGGCCACCTGGGCGAGCGATGGCGGCTGGGCGGGCCGGGCCGGTAGGTCTTGCCGACGGAGGGGGGACGTTGCCGATGGCGACTGACGCTGACGATGGCAGTGGCGACGGCGGCGGTGACGATGATGACGATGATCCTGATGATGGCGAAAACGACGGTGACGATGGCGACAATCATGGCGATGACGCGGATGACGACGTCGATGCCGAGGAAGGTAACGGCGGCGATGGCGACGATATCGACGATGACCCTGGTGATGGTGGTGGTGACGACGGTGGTGGTGGTGACGGCGACGATGACGATGGCGATATATTGGCGATGTTCGTGACGATGACGATGCTGGTGTTGCTGCAGATGCGGATGCGATTGAAGCTACGGATGGGCACAATCATTTAGGTGATGCTGAGAACAAGGAACAGGAAGATGAATCTGACACATATTGTGCGGATTGCGATGAGGATTTAGGTGGTGATGACGGTGATGATGTTTTCTGGACGCCAAGACCATTCTTGAGAGGCTGCAGGTTGGGTCTCGGCATACCCCGCACGAGGCCATGCTCTGAGGGTGCTGGCGCAGGAGGGCTGCGCTGTGCTGCCTCGGAACGTCGTGCAGGAGGCTAGACAAAGAGGAGGAAGAGGGCACTCGCGCCAATGGCACAGTGCCGACTGCTGCATGCCAGGATCTGAACAATTTCGATATCACGCAGGAAAGCGAGCCTCGATCGGTGATTGTCGCATCCTGCCCTGCCGTCCTCCCGGCCGTGGATTGCGAGTTGCCGCACTCTTTCCCGCACGTGGAATCCAGCATGACGTACTCCTTGCAGGTCGAAAGGTGGAGACATGGGGCACGCTGTGAAGCAGTGGCCAATGATTCCATTCGTGCTGCCCTCGGGGCACCGCTCGAGCTCGGAGAATATTCTCTTCGTAAGGAGCGGGGCCGTTGGCGGTGTGTTTTTTTGGTCGCGGCCGCGCAGCAGAGGGCAGGCGGCGAAAGGGGGTCCGGGGCGACGGGTCAGCCTAATTAGCTACTAGGCGCAACGCAAGCCAGCCGGGCCAGCACTCAGAAGCGGCAGCTGGAAAGCAGCAGCCGCAAGGGGCTGACTGGTTGAACTGCAACGCCCAGGGAAGTTCATGCATTGAGCAGACCTGTGGCAAAGTGCCTGAGAATTACGAACTGAACGCCGCGGCGCCAGTCCACCACGGTGTAGGTGCCATGCCGCGTCTGAGAGTGTCCTGCAAACACTTTCCGCACAAACGCTGTAGCAGGTGAAGGCCAGGTACAAACTGGTCATGTCGCCAGAGGGCGCCAAGGGCCAGGGGAACCGTTGGCGGTGCACGAAGCGCAAGAAACGCCATTTATGTGAGTCTCGTCCTCGGCACGGGTCTGCTTCACGTCAAGATGGTGGCACTTGCCAAGCTGCTCGTAGGGCTTGCTGTAGGCGTCCCGCGTCTCGGCAATCCCTGCGAACAGTTCCAAGCAGTGTTTGACGTTGTGTTTCTTGATTACGCGCAGGATGTTGTTCTGAGGCGGGGTCTGGCAAGTTATGTTCTGCGGCAGCAGTTCGGAATATACCACGCCGTGGACAACGTGAAACCACTCGGACATGAATTCATGGCAGGAGTCCGACAAGAAGACGATCTGCTCGTAGAGCTGGATGTGACTGCAAGTCTTCGCGGACTCGAGGGGACCCGAAGGGGCACGACGAGCACCGCGTGGATGTCGAGCGGCCCCTCGATGCTGAAGTGCTCCGTGAACAGGTGGTTCCTCCCGTCGTTGCACAGGGACGTGTAGAAGGCAGCGTGCCCCTCGTTTGTGACGTCCTCAAGCTTGCGCATCCAAGCTTGGAGTGTTCTGGTCAAGCTGGGCACTCACGTGCGTATGGCCAGGCGTTCTGGTTGAGCTTTGCGTAACGCTCGCCGCGCCTGTCCAGTCCGCCCAGGCCATCCGGGGTGACTGGAAGGCCTGGAGGAGGCCTGGACTTGCAACAGGCGCATCCCTGGTGGGCCCAAGCCCGCTGTCCCCGCCGCGCTGGCCCACAGGCCCTCCGGGGTGGCGGCGCTCGCAGCGGGGCGGTCGAAGCCCCGAGGGGCCCTCCTGCACCTGGAGGCCGTAGGGCGGCTCCATGGCGGGCGTGGATACACATATATATATATATATATATATATATATATATATATATACGGCGGACTCGCTGCTGGTGCGCCTGGAGCGCCCGAGAGCGCCTCGCCCCAGACGGTGGCGCGCCGCTGCGAGCCCGGGTCCGCGTCAGCTCCACCGGAGACCTCCTCACCACACCGTCGGGCGCGCGGAGGAGGAGGAGGAGGAGGAGGAGGAGGAGGAGGAGGAGGAGGAGGAGGAGGAGGAGGAGGAGAGGGAGGAGGAGGAGGAGGAGGAGGAGGAGGAGGAGGGAGGGAGGGAGGAAGGGAGGGAGGGAGGGAGGGAGGGAGGGAGGGCACAGCCCGCAGCAAGCCTCTCCGGCGGGGATGCCGTCGGAGGGCCCGCCGCAGTCCGCGCGGGGCGGGCCGGGGCCTCTTCGCAGAGGCGGTGGAGACCGCAGAGGCCGCCGCGGGCTCAGACCTTTGGGAGACCGCTGCACTGCCCAAAGTCTGACATCGCGGCGGCCTTCCGTGGTGATGACGATGATGGTGATGATGCTGATGCTGATGCTGATGCTGATGGTGACGATGATGGTGATGTGGATGACGATGTGGATGTGGATGATGATAATAAGAATGATGATGTTGTTGTTGATGATGATGTGGATGTGGATGTGGATGATGATGATGATGATGATGATGATGATGATGATGATAATGATGATGTTGATGATGATGATGACAATGGTGGTGATGATGATGGTGATGGCGCAGGTGGTGGTGATGATTACGGGAAGGCTCATGATGATGGTGATGACGATGATGACGATGCTGATGATGCTGATGCTGATGCTGATGATGACGATGATGCTGATGATTATGATGTTGATGATGATTATGATGATGATGCTGATGATGAGTGTGATGGTGATGGAGATGGAGATGGAGATGGAGATGGTGATGGTGATGATGATGATGATGATGATGATGATGATGATGATGATGATGATGATGATGATAATGATGATGATGATGATGATGATGATGATGATGATGATGATGATGATGATGATGATGATGATACTGATGATGATTATGATTATGATTTGGGGCCCACCGCAGAACCGATAAATCAGCGCGGACCTCTGGCAAACCTCGCTCATGCAATTTGCTTGCCTTCGACTGTCGGCGCCCCATACAGGGACCCGACGGGAAGGCGGCCCCGAACAGTGCAGAATCCACCTGGAGCCTGGCTTCCCATTCTCAAGGCCCCGTCTCTCAGAACCCCCTCTTCGACCCTCCGATGTCCGCACCCCTGACTTCTGCTGCCCCCCCCCCGAAATGGGGCAACGTTCGGGGGGGGGAGAGTCCGGGCCAGTGCCCCAAGGGGGGGGGGGAACCATGGACCTGAAATCGGCGATGCATCGCTTGATGTATTGGCGATAGGTCTCTGATGGCGACATCGCACGCTCCTGGGCGGGGTGGGCCACCAGACCCCTATCATCGAGCGATGCTCGAGCGACGATTGGGGGCCGATGCGCTTCCCCTGAGCCGATCCCTCGCATGATCCTCGTCGTCTGGCTTTGGGGTCATGACTCGCGTGCCGTTCGGGACGGTCCAGGCCCCCCCGGAACGCTCTCGGCGAGGAGCAGCTGCCAGAAAGCACCCCCAGGCTCGAAGACCGCAGAGAGGCCACGAAAGAGCCCGAGGACCTGACGCCTCGAACTCCAAACCCTCCCCCGTGAACTTGCGCAGCTGCCCCCACACTCCACGTGGTGGCAGCTCTCGGGACCCACGGCGTGGCACGAGCGTGCCCAAAACCATAGAGGATTCCCAGATGGGGCCAGAGTAGGTGGGGCCGGAGGATTCCGCCGCATCGCGGATGCATCTGCGACGCTGGCGATGCATCGGCCAAGTCGGCGTCGAGAAAAGCGGGCTCCACATCGAGGCGGCCTAGAAACATGGCAGCGACGAAAATGAACGGGTCTGACGCACCATGATATAGCAAGCTTACGTGGTGGCTTACGCGGGCCGCCAGCGCGGCACGCTTCTCTGGGAACGAAGGTGCTGACGCGCGGCCTCACGCGGGGAGCTTACGCGTGAATGTCGGCGCACACGAACCAGTCTTTTCCGATCATGTGGCTAGAGGGGGAAACACATGCACAAACATCAGTATTCGGTGATCCGCGTGGAGCGCCGACAGTTTATGCTTACGCAGCCTTTTGCTTTTCGCACGGGACAACAACAACAATCACTTGCTGATGTTTGGACGCTCGGAATGGGTACGGAAAGCAAGGGTACGATGCCCAACAACAAATGCTGCCCAAAAGTGACAGCGGCCACTGTTGGGCTGACGGGCTTCTGTCTCAAATGGACAGCAGCCGCGGGACACCGACAGCGAGCCCAAAAGGAACAGGACCTACCGTCGGTATTTGTACCCGGAATTCTTTCCGAACCCATTTCGAGCGTACCAATCTCGAGCGTAAACATTCATCGCCGACAGATCGGCGATAGGTACCCGACAGCAAATCCGCACGTTCCTGGGCAAGTTGGTTCTATTGGGCACCTATCGGCGATGAGTGGGGGATTGGGGGTCGATTCGACCCCCCCCTACTCCAATCCCCCCCTTTCTAGGGAACCCACAAAAGACGTACGCGCCCAATCACATACATGAGCAGTCCCCCAATCCGTGAGACGGCCGCGTGATACGAACCGTCGCGCAATGCGCACTCTCGAAACCAACGTGGACTCATGCACGTTCGGGCGGCAGGATCTATACATATTCACTGCCCCACCCATCTTGGGCCCAGGAACGGTGTATACGCCCTCCACAAGGGTGGGTCTTTAGACCCCCCCCAATAAAGTGTAATTCGCCATTTGATCAGATACCTTTTTCACGGATTGGTGTTCCACCAATCGGAAAAGCTAATTACTTTTCTCCGCGGCACCCGCCGCGCAACAACGACGCCGACAGCTACGACTACGATTGCGACTGCGACTACGACGACTACTAGTCACTATGCCTCAGGAGCGGTCTTATGGAAAATCTTGGTTCAAAGACTCGGTTCCCAAAAGCTTTATCCATGAAGCTCCATCTTGCGAAAGACTGTCGAAACTCAGGCTCTGCGCAGGCCGTCAAAAACTCCAGCCTCAGAAGTTTCACCCTCAAAACGTTGATCCCCAAAAAGACTTTTGAATCTGAGGCCCCACGGAACCTGCATAATCTCGACCCTCAAAAAACGCCACCCTCGGAAAAAATGGTTCAAGCAGGATGGAGACCTGCGAGCGGTTTAAGAAAGTCAGCGAATCAATGCAACGAACCTTCCTAATGCAAATATCAAGACAATATGCTCGCAAATCCTATCGCGTGCACGGTCGCCCACACTTTTTTTTTTTTTTTTTTTTTTTTTTTTTTTTTCGGGAGGGAAACCGAAACGTCATCCAACCCACCCAACAATAATGGGAAACGAACCCCACGTCGCCACCGGCGCCGACAAGGCGCAAAAAAAGTTCTGCAAACAGTAACGGGCAGGCCATTACGCATAAAATCCCGACTCAAAACGAAGCGCGTTCTATTGAAGTCCTCACAAACGATGCTCGCAAATCTTCCCGCATGCAAAATAACCAAGCATACATTATTCCGTGGAGGGAAAATACCCCGAACATGATCCAACCAACCCAGCAATAGAGGGACAAGAATCCCATGCTGCCGTGCGCGCAGACGAGGCGCAAGCAGGAGTTCCGCCGGAAGTGCTAGGCAGGCGAATTTGACCAACCTCGCAAATCGAAGCTAATAAATTCCGATCGCAACCCGCATGAAAAATGCTCACAAATCCTCCCGTGTGCAGGGTAGCCCACAATTGACTATGCAGCCGGAGGAATAACCCCCTAAGATTATCGAACCCACCCGACCAAACAAAAAAAACGGAACGAATTCCATGTCGCTGTGCGCGCACACCAGGCGCCAGCAGGAATTCTGCCAGCAATGCTAGGCAGGCGGATTTGAACAAACTCCGGGATCCAAGCTAAGTACCTTTCGATTCCAATCCGTCACCTTAAAGCTAGGTTTTCATTCCAACGCAACCAGGGCTACTTTTTTATCTTGCAAACGTTGAGACACGCATGTTCACTTCAAAATCCGAAAGGCCATCGTTGGCCAAGCCGACACGGCGATTTTCCATGATAAACGATACGAAACTCGCCGCGCGCGCCGCCGCGCGCGCGCCAACGTTCTCAGAAATAGGCATGTCGCCATGCTGGCCTGGAAACGACAGTCTGCCGCCCTTCGCGGTGACCGATTCGACTTCGAAGTCAACGTGGATTCCCAACGTTTTCAAACATAGGAAAGTCGCTATGTTGGCCTTGCAACTATACCCCGACTGGATTTTGTAGTTAGCATTCCATTTTCAACGTTTTCAACAATAGCAGATTCGCCGTGTTCGCCTGGAAACTAAAGCCGTCGCCGTCCTCAACGACCTCACAAACGGCCGCGCCCTCATCGTCACCCGCGGCCGCGGCGCCAGGCCCCATGTTCAAGCTGCGCTGGCTTACGCGTATCAAGAGAGCCTCGATGCTCCAGTTTTGAACCGCAATGGTTACCTCTCAGTGCACTCTCACGCGCCAGGGTCTGGCCCTCACGAGTCCCCCCGCCCATGATCTCTTCAACGAGGGTACCCTCCCCGGGATGCACAAGAACAGCCCAGCAAACACGACGAGCATTAGGGTAACCCTCCCCGAGCCGGCCTCCATCTCATACCTCGGCCCGACCGTAATACCCTCCAGGCCACCGGCGGAGGAGCAAACTGCGCGCCAACCTGCTGCTCGCCATGCTCGCCCACCCAGCGGCGCTGCGCCTGGGCCGGCTCCATGCTGGGCGGGCGGCCGTGCCCTGCACGCCTGGAGGGGGCCTCTGCCAGGCAGCGCCACGGGCTCGTGACGAAAACAAGCCCAGACCTCCGAGGCTCCGAGCATCTGATTCTTTCAATCCGGTGGGTTTTCATCGATTTCGGCCTCTGGGGCCCGTTACCGGGCCCGGGGAGCATTCAAAATGCACCCGGGACGAAAAAACACGCCCGGAGACGGGGTCGGGACCTCTGGGGACGTGGAATAAAAAAGTCGCATCGGAGGATGACTGGGAACGGGTCTTACGCGGGAAGACATAGCGACCCCACGCCGAGCTTTACGCGGGCCGCCTGCGTGGCACGCCACATTGGAGACGATAGCGTTCACGCGCGACCTTGCGCGGGAAATGTGCGCGCCAAAGCCGGCGCAACCGATCCCGTTGTTTTGTTTGCGGCGCTCACCTGTACCGATCCCAGAGCCCTTCGCGCCGTGAGAAGATCACGACGGGAGGGCGTTCTCCACTTTCGGCCTCCTGGGGCCCTCTCAGGGCCTCGGGACTGCTGTCAACAGACCGCTCAGGATGAAAAACCGGCCCCCGGGAAGGTGTCCAGACCTCTGGGGGTCCACGTCTTGAAAAAAAAAAAAACACGGCGTCGGGTTTATCTGGGATCCAGGCCAGGCTCGCCGTGGGCCCAAGATCGGTGCATGCGCCCGTCCTGGCTCAGGCCGGGGCGCACGTGCACCGATCCCGGGGGCCCGGGGTCGGCCTGGCCAGGATCGGTGCGGGTGCAAGCGGTCGGTGCCCTCCAGAGGGCGGGGGGGGGCCACCAGGGGGTCGACCCGGACAGCGTGTTTCGTCCTCGTGTTGGTGCTCGTTTCCCCTCGTTTCGTCTTCAGCACCTCCTCTGCAGCGTGAGGCAAAGAACGGCATCGACGAGAAAACGGCCCACAGAATCGCCCACACACCTTTGTGTTAGGACGGGCCTGTCCCCCTACAGGGGGATTTTGGACGAAAAACTAAAAATACGGAAGAAGTACTCCCAAAACGTTCAAACATATTAAAAAAATAGTCCCCTGACCAATTTTTGACTATTTTTGAATATCCCCCCTGTAGAGGGACAGGCCCGCCTTAACCTCTGTGTTGGTCGACTGCTGGGGACCCCTCCCTGGCCCCCACGCTGGGACGCCAGGGCTTGCCCCGCCCCCCCTCGCGGTGGGCCCCCCTCGTGGCGAACACCTCCCCCCTCCTCGTGGGTGGCGACCGCCCGCCACCACCTCGTCCCGACCACCACCCCCCTCGTGGCGCCCCTCGTGGTGCCCCTTCCCCCCCCCCCCTCTTCGAGCTTCGATGCGATCCCCCCCCCCACCTCGCGGTGCCCCTTCCCCCCCTTCGAGCCTCGATGCGATCCCTCCCCCCCTCGCGGTGCCCCTTTCCCCCTCGAGCCTCGAGGCGACGCCCCCCCCCCGTCGAGCCTCGCTGCGCGCCCCCCCCCCCACTCCCCCTTCGTGGCGACCTGCCCCTCGTGGCGCCATTCCCCCCCACCCCTCGTGGTGCCCTCCCCCTCGAGCCGTGCCTTTCTTCACGACGCGCACCCCAGCGAGGTCCCTCTGCCCTCCTGTTTGTTGACTTTGAGCGGACTTTCATCCTGGGATTACAGCGTCTGACCGTCCTCCTCCGCCTCGTCCTCGTCCTCGTCTTCCTCCTCCTCCTCCTCCTCCTCCTCCTCCTCCTCCGCATCCCTCCTCCACCTCCTCCTCCTCGTCCTCCCTCCTCCTTGCATTCGTTCTCTTCCTCCTCCTCCCTCCTCCCCGACGGAACGGGTGTCCCATCCCGATGCCAATTTCTCGACGGCCCCTTCTCATGGGGGGTCAGAACTGGTTGGGATCTCCGGGAGATAACGCCAAATCCGCTCAAGATCGGTCCCCAGAACCCCTCTGGGGGGGTCCATCTAGTGCAATGTTTCGCCCCAGACCCGTTTCTGAGGGCCCCAGGGCACGAACACGGCACCCAGAGGCCAAAAAGGGCAACAAGAACATGTTGTCATTATTCCGAAGGAAGGACATATGAGAACCTTCTTAGCGCGCCCCGCGGAGCCTGTTGGACCTGCGGGGCCTATGTTGTCTGTGGGGCCTATGGGGCCTGTGGGACCTGTGTGGGGCCCGTGAGACCTGCGGGGCCTGCAAGACATGGGGCCTGTGGGACATGTGGGGCCTGTGGCACCCGTTGGACCTGTGGAACCTGTGGGGCCTGTCGGTCTTGTTCGGCCTGTGGGGCCAGTGGGACAACTGGGGCCTGTGCAACCTGTGCACCCCCGGTTCCCGTTCGAGACTTCCTCGCGATTCTCTCGCAGACGAGGCTCCCGCTCGAGACTTCCTCTCTATTCAACCCTGGGGAGCCCCAAAAAGACGGCAATCACAGGTTTGCCGACAAGCTGCTCGGATTCGAACATGGAGGTGGGGACTCCAGGGGATCCCGTTGGAGACTTTTTTGCGATTCACTGACAGACGCTCCGCTCCAGACTTCTTCCATATTCAGGCAAAAGGCGCCCAATAATGATGTGTCGCATGACCCGCTGGGATTCGAACATGAGGTGCGGGACCGATAGGGAGGGGGCTCCCCCCTCAGACTTCCTCGCAATTCACTCACAACTGAGGCTCCCGCCTGAGACTTCCTCAAGATTCAGGCCTGAGAAGCTCCAAAAAACGACAATAAAAGGTTTCGCAAGACCCGCTCGGATTCGAACATGAGGTGCGGGACCCACAGGGAGGTGGCTCCCGTCTGAGACTTTTTTGCGACTCACTGACGGGGCTCCCGCCTGAGACGTTCTCAGTATACAGGCATGAAGAACACAAAAATGACGACAGCAATAAGTTTCGCATGACCCGCTCGGACTCGAACATGAGGTGCGGGCCCCATTGGGAGGGGGCTCCAGTCTGAGACATCATGGCCATTCACTCACCGATGAGGCTCCCGCCTGAGACTTCCTGAAGATTCAGGCCTGAGGAGCCGAAACGTGACGACAGCAATAAGTTTCGCAAGACCCGCTCGGATTCGAACATGAGGTGCGGGACCCACAGGAAGGGGGCTCCCGCCTGAGACTTCCTCGCAATTCACTCACCGATGAGGCTCCCGCCCGAGACTTCCTCAATACAGGCCTGAGGAGCCGAAAAGTGACGACAACAATACGTTTCGCAAGACCCGCTCGGATTCGAACATGAGGTGCGGGACCCACAGTGAGGGGGCTCCCGTTTGAGACATCATGGCAATTCACTCACCGATGAGGCTCCCGCCTGAGACTTCCTGAAGATTCAGGCCTGAGGAGCCGAAAAGTGACGACAGCAATAAGTTTCGCAAGACCCGCTCGGATTCGAACATGAGGTGCGGGACCCACAGGAAGGGGGCTCCCGCCTGAGACTTCCTCGCAATTCACTCACAGCTAAGGCTCCCGCCTGAGACTTCCTCAAGATTCAGGCCTGAGGAGCCGAAAAGTGACGACAGCAATAAGTTTCGCAAGACCCGCTCGGATTCGAACATGAGGTGCGGGACCCACAGGGAGGGGGCTCCCGTCTGAGACATCATAGCAATTCACTCACCGATGAGGCTCCCGCCTGAGACTTCCTCAAGATTCAGCCTGAAGAGCCGAAAGGCCCGCTCGGATTCGAACATGAGGTGCGGGACCCATTGGGAGGGGGCCATCGTCTGAGACATCATGGCCATTCACCCACCGATGAGGCTCCCGCCTGAGACTTCCTCAAGATTCAGGCCTGAGGAGCCCCAAAATGGCAACAACAATAAGTTTTACATTACCCGCTCGGATTCGAGCATGAGGTGCGGGACTCATAGAAAGGGCTCCCGTTTGAAGCTTCCCTCAAGGTGGATCTCTGAGTGTGCGATCGTGTGTGAAAGTATCAGCGAGAGCGCGTCGGATGATGATGATGCTGATGATGATTATGATGTTGATGATTATTATGCTTATGCTGACGATGATGATGACGATGGTGATGACGATAATGATAAGTATGACGATGGTGATGATGATACTGATAAAGATGCTGATGCTGATGGTGATGATGGCGATGGCAGTGGTGGTGGTGTGGTGGTGGTGGTATGGTATCGAGTGGGCGTGAGTGAGGATGATGGTACTGATGATGATGACGATACTGAGTATGGAGATGGTGGTGGTGATGGCGACGATGATGATGATGACGGCGACGATGGTGAGGATGATGGTGAAGACCATGATGGAATGGTAATTGAGTGAGTGAGCGGGTGAGTGAAAGAGTGAGTGATGACGAGTGTGATGATGATGACGACGATGATGATGATGATGATGATGATGATGATGATGATGATGATGATGATGATGATGATGCTGATGATACTGATGATGGTGACGGGAATGGCGATGATGATGGTGAGGGCGATACTGATGGTGATGATGGCGATGATGATGATGATGATGATAATGATGACGATGATAGTAATGATGAGAGTGATGAGGATGATGCTGAGGATGAGGATGGTGATGAGGATGCGGATGGTGGTGGTGGCGGCAATGATGTTCATGCCGATGAGGACAAATGCTGCATGCCGCTCCAACTGATGATGATTCTGAATGTTGGATGTTAAATAGTGAATAGTGATGATGATGCTGCGGATGATCATGATACTGATGATGATGAACATGACGATGACGATGGCGATGACGATGATGATGCTGGTGAGGATGCTGAATATGCTAATGGTGATGATGATTAGAGTGATGACGATAATACTGATGCTGGTAGTGATAATGAGGCTGATCATGCAGGCAATGATGATGATGACGATGATGATGATGATGATGATGATGATGATGATGATGATGATGGTGATGCTGATACTTATGATGATGCGTATGATCATCATGATGGCGATGATGATGATGGTGGTGATGATGATAACGATGGTGATGATGTTGATGATGATGCTGATGATGATGATGATGATGATGATGATGATGATGATGATGATGATGATGATGATGATGATGATGATGATGATGATGATGGGGGAAGAGGATGAAGGAGGAGGAAGAGGAAGAAGAGGAGGATCAGTGTGCGAGTGCGCGAGTGCGTGAGTGCGTGAGGAGGGGGGAGGAAGGATGCTGCGCGGAGGGTGTGCAGGGAGAGCGAGAGGCCCGCCCGGGATGTGGGGAATCACCCAGAGGCTGGGACCTCGCCCCCCTTGCGGATCGCTGGAGCCAGTGCTGGGCCGCCTGAGACCCCAAGCCGACGCCGCAGGAGTCGAAACAACTGCCGACGGAGCTCGTCTGTGTAGAGTCGGTGATCTACTTGAGCACGACCGACGCACGGCCACCGAAGACGGTAGTGGCGATTGGAACGGTCCCCACCCTCCCATCAACAGCGGACCCGAAAGGGGACGCGCGAACGTTGGAAGTGGAGGCCGAGCGGAGGGCTGCTCCAACCCGGAGATCTTGCGGCAAGGATTGAGCAGGGACCGACCGTCCCGGCATTTCTATAGCCCTACCACGAGATGTTCCTAGAACCCAACAATGCTCTAAGAACAAAAACAATGTTCTTAGAACATAAACCCGATGTGATAAAAACGCGACAGGCTCCGCCAGACATGTTCTAAGACAATTGCGTGGACACCACGAAAGGTTCTTAGAACATTGTTTGGTAGGGCTACAGGCGAGCCAGGACGCTTCGCCACTGCTTGCAAGGAAGCCGCTCCCCCCCGGCACTGCCCGAGCCTCGCGCGGCGCGCCGAGGCCGCGGAGAGCGGCGCGCCGCCAGGGGGGGGCGCCCGCGGGCGCCTGCCGATGGGCGGGGGGCGCCTGCCGCGGGGGGAAGCCGTCGCGGAGGACGCAGGGGAGGCGCGGCGGGCCGCAGGAGAGCCGCGTCGCGCGCCGCCGAGCCGAAAGCTGGAGGCCACGAGCGGCGGCCGTCTCCCTGCGGAGCGCGGATTCAGGAGGGGGCGGCGGATGGGGAGGGGGGGAGAAAGGGTGCCCTCTTCGGGCCCTCCAGGGCCCCCCTTTCGGGCCCCGGAGGGCTCCTGCAGGGGGCCCTGAAAGGCCCCTTCTCTGCGGCCCTCGCTGCCCCCCCCCCCTCCTCCTCCTCCTCCTCCTCCTCCTCCTCCTCCTCCT